AGCCGAGAACTGTCATCCACATAACACAGATGAGGAAAAGGAAGGGTCTGAACTAGCTGCCTTTAAGTCAGAGCTAACAATCCACAAACAACATCGGCTGAGATCCCGGGGTTCTGGGGCATTAGTGTGGACCTGGAGGCACAAGCTGCCCGCTTGTTCCAAGACAGCCTTCTTTCTAGAGAAACTTCCTGGGAGAGAGGGCGCAGCACAAAGGAAGTTAAGGGAGAACACCTGGTTTCCAACCATCAGTGTGCTGCTTATCCCCAGGGAGATACCAGCATTTACCTTCCCTGGGGCTCCCTTCTTTATTTGTAATCAGACATAATAATAGTCCCCGGCTCAGAGGTTGTTATAGTGCTTAAGTATTTATAAGAAGCTGTGGCATTTGATCCTCATAACGACCCTGAAAAGCAGATTAAGTAAATGGTATCTACAGATAATGATACTAATCACTAATCGTTGTGCAAAGCTCTACGGTTTGCAACAGGCCATAAAATACATTATTTTATCTTAATTCTATCAAGGCAGTAAGGGAGGAATCTTCGGCTTTCATCGCATTCTCAAAGGGATACGTGTCCCCCAGTAAGCCAGCCAAGTACATGTCTCGCAGGTACATGGGGGCCATCAGGGGTGTGGGACTCAAGTAACGGTTGTGAACGTTCGCACGCACGATCTCATTTAATCACCTTCACGGCTGACTCACGGGAGGACTTACCGTCCCAATATACACTCGAGGAAACAGAGACGGGCCACGACGCGCCTTGGGGGAACGCGGCCTCCGCGCCCTCCTGCCGCCGCTCTCCTGGAGATGCCCGGCGATGCCGGGCTCGGAGACGTACCTGACGCTTCCCAGAAGCCGGGTCCAAGCGCAGCCCGAGGTCGCCTGCAAGAACCCCGACAGGGACCCAATCAACCGCCGCGAGCGCCAGCGGCCGCCTCCCGCCTCCCTCCCGCCGCGCGCACGCGCAGCCCCGCCCTGGGCTCTACCACCGGGGAAAGAGGGGGTGCCCGGCGCGGCGCCAGACGCTCTTGCGGGCTCCCCTCGGTGTATTAAATAGGTTATACAGGTAGACCGTCTTTGGGAGTCATTTACATGTCCCCATAATAGGCTAGGACGAGGAACTACACTCACCCTTCCCACAAACACATTGGTCTGGTCCCCCAGACCCCCTGCCGCGGTCACCTTGGTAACGGCGTCTCGCTGACACCTCGGTTGCCTGGAGAACGCCAGGACTCATAGTAGCAACATGGGCCTCTCCCCGACAGCTCCTCGCCTCTTCCTCCTCGCCCACCACACAGCAAAGGGCGCCCTTCCTGCTGGATGTGGGGGCAACGGGTGTCGGGCGCCCATCCAGAACTTTGTGGGGTCCCCTGAAAGACCCGTGGCGGAACTGGGCCGGAGTTCGTCAAGTTCCTCCGATGCTTTCGGGTAAGGCAGACGGACAGACGGACGATGAACCCGCCTCCGGCAGCGTGCGGGCTCGGAGCAGGCCTGCCCCTTCCCCACGCTCTGACTCTTGGTCGGCTTCTACATGCAAGGGAAACTGAGGCCCAGGGACTACTTTAAGGTTACACAGTGAGCACGGGGCGGAGAACTACTGGAAAACCAACTCCAGATCTCCTAAAGTCCTAACAGCGTGTATTACTGGTTCCATTTAATAAATGAAAAAACTCAGGCCATTCAAGAGATGTTTACTTGCCTAGAGAATGTACTAGGTCATCCATCCAATGAGGGACAAGACTCAAGGGTCTCTGGCTCCAAGCAATTCTCTTCCAGTTACACCACGCTGCATTAAAAGGGGAAGAGTTCCATGTCCTAGACCCAAAATCTGCGTGGCCAGCCCAGAACGGTCCAATAGAAACATGAAACGGGCCACACATGTAATTTAGAATTTTCTGGTAGCCACATTTTTAAAAGTAAAAACAAAACAAACAAAATAAGGTGAAATTAATTCGAATAATGATTTCTTAAAGTCTGTATGTCCAAAATATTATCTTTCAACATATACCCAATATTTTAAAATTTACACTACTTTGTTTTTTTTAATTTAATTAATTAAAATTAAAATTTCACTTATTTAGCCACACTAACCAAATTCCAAGGGCTCAGTTGTCACATGAGCGAAGTGGCTACTGTGAGGGACAGCAGAGATCTAGCTTCTTCCTACCTTTCCAGCCTTGCTCCCTTCTGCTTGGATGCTATTTATCCTCCCCTTTATCTAATTAACTCCTTTTCTTCCTTCAGCACCTTGACCCCCTTGACTAGGTCAAAATACACTATTATGTCATCTCACAATGCTGTGTACCTCCCTTTGAAGCAGTGGTTTTAGTTATAATTCATAATTATAATTCACAATTTTTCATGAATTATAATTCATAATTATTTATGTAATTATTTGATTATTGCATGTCTCCCTCAGTAGATGTAACTCCATTAGGGCAGGGATCAAGACTGGTTTAGCTCGCCATCCTGCCCCCAGTAGGAGCACACTGCTGGTTTATGGTATGTACTCAGTACATGGTCATTGAATGACTAAAGATTAAGCTGAACAGAAGTCTGTCTGACTCCAAAGTCGGAATTGTCTTTACGTGCTAAAACATGTTGGCTTTAAACAGGGGACACTCAAATCTTGACTGCCAGAATATGTGCTCCATGAAGACAGGAGAAATAAGAAATATTCTTCCACTCCTTGCCCCCAACACAAAGCACAGTGCTTGCCAGAGGTTAGATATTCAGTGAAGCTAGTTTTCTCCCCCTTCTTCTCGTCTCCTCCCCAAGTAATGACAGTAAAAAACTTCTCATGTTTCAGAGTGTTTGTCCTAAACTTGTATGATGAAAAATTCAGAAGGGAACAGAGTGTAAGGGGTTGGCCAGTTAGCTTACTTGGGAGAGTATGATGCTGGGTCACACTAGGGTCAAGGGTTCAGATCTCTGTACCAGTCAGCTTCTAGAAACAAAAGAGAGGAGAGAGAGAGAGAGAGAGAGAGAGAGAGAGAGAGAGAGAGAGAGAGAGAGAGGGGAACAGAGTATGTATTTTAAACATTTCTCTTAAGAGGCATGATATTTAGGTTTCCCATTAGGAGAACTGAATTTTCCCTTTACTCATTTGGCATGACTAATAACACCAAGCTAAAGCAAGAGGCTTCTTGCCAGAGTCACCCTATTTGGAGGATACTAACATTTATAAAACAAATGTATTTCACAGGACCTAGCTTCCAAAGCCCTGTAGTTTCATGCATAACCTAACTTTTTAGAATTACATATAGAAATGTTAAGCTTGCAAAAGACAGGAAACTTTCCCCAGGCTAAAGTCTCTGTTGTGGATAAAGAATTGTAACAGCAAAATTGGTGGCTCAAGGACAGATGTCCTTGGTGCAGGTTAACCTACTGATTGGTGTGTTAAGAAAGTTGCTTGATTGTTGTGTAAGAATACCAAGGAAATTGCTGTAGGAAAAGACAGTGTTTGCTAAGAATAAGATTTTGTTGGTGGATCGACTTAACCTTTTACAAATTGCATTATGGAATGTCACTTTGTTTATTTCACTGATGTTACTAGTTTCCATGTGTTAAAACTATACTTAGCCATAACTCTGCCCATATCCTTGTGTTCTTTGTAATGATTAAATCAACTGAATTTTCTTGTGGAACTTCCTTGTCTTTACAATAAAAGGGAGAAGCTAACTTTGAATCGGAGCTGTCACATTCAGCTTTCTCCTCCTATTGGGGAAATTACTGAAGTGCAGTCCTTCCGGGCCTCTCAATGCATACATAATGCTTTGAGTAATCATGTAATTCTTTTTTCGTCTCCATTACACAGGGGGAAGTGTAACAACCCTATGCCTGGCTTCTCAGAGAATACGTAGTTTTTCAGTCATTCTGGATATTGGGTGGGAGGAAAGTGAGAATCCCTAAAATGCACCTGTCTCCTCTTAACCCTCTTCTCCTTGCCTGTATGGCTAAAAGCTAGGAGCAGTGGGGAGAAAATAGTATTGACCTGGGCCTGGGCCAGCCTTTCCTACAATCCAGCTGACTTGGGACAGCCCAAGATGGATAACCTCTTTTGGACTAGAAAAAAGTGTGGTAAGTGAGTCTAAAAGGAATTAGAAATTGAATGAACCTAATCCCTAAAGAGTAATTTGCCTAATGGAGAAAGATGTAGAAGCAAATCATTTCAGTTCAATATTACAAGTTCTGTAATAGAGGGATGAAAGCAGAACCCTGGGCCTCACAAAGAAGGCATGGTACTAATGGCCTGGAATAATTTGAGAATGTTTTCCAAAAGATATATTGCCTAGTCAAATAGAGGGAACAGCGTGTGCAAAGGCATAGAGGCACAAAGAGCATAGTATGGTCAAAGACTAGGAAGACGTTTAGTGGCTCAGGTGTATAGAGTGCATGATGGGAAGAAGAAGATAGATCAGGAGGCTCATTCTGAGGAGATGGACCCAGTGTCCAAGAGTCACAACATCTGAGAGCTGAAAAGTGTCTTAAGGCCATCTGATCCAAATCTCTTACTTTTACAGTTGAAGCTCAGAGAGGCCAAGAGATTTGACTTCCTATCTAGTTTGAAAACGGATTTACTGGATAGTCTGGAGCCTTGGTCTTTTCAGCACTCTAGTCTTCTTATTTTTAAAACTAGAATAAATTTCATTATGGGTTGGGAGGAGAGGTGGGCATCAGCAGGTTGAAAGGGCGAGCATATATGCCGTGAAATCCCCAGTTAAGAATAGCTTCTCTGCTGCACTTACTGCAATGTAAAGAAAAAAATGGGCTTCTCAGACAAACATCTTTATTCCCCATGAAAGCAGAGAACATGTACCTCACCATCAGCTCTGTTTAGTGGGGAGTGTGATTGGTCTTTTCCTGTTGTTTTTTCTAATATGATTCTATGCTATTTTTGATTTCTAGGAGGCTGATAGAACAAAGAACAAGACTGGAGTGGGAAATGAGAGGCTTTTAAGAGTGGAAACTTTTTGTTTGTCAGTTTGCAAGTTAGACAATGGATTATTTCAGGAAGATGGACGTCATCAACCTCACTGCCTTACCAATGATACAAGTGGATGGAGACCTGACTGTCTCACCTGTTACTCGGACTGCAATGGAGAATGCTGTGAGGAAGGAGTTACAGGACAATCCACCCTGTATCCTTCTGGTGGTGTCGCCTACAATCAGACCAGATACACCTAACTCGAATCACGCCATAGAGGTGTAATCAGTGCTCAAATCCATACTCCACATTACGTATTTGCTTGTTCCTTATATTTGTTGATTTTTTTCATTTACTTAAGCCCTATCTATCCTTTAAAAGAATTTGAGGCTGCAAAGGATTGTTTGACTTGAATCTTTGTACTAATATAATCAGAAAGAGCCCACAAGGAAGAAGTGCTGAAAGTATTTGTTGAAAGAATGGGGAAGAACAGAGAAAAAGCTTATTTCTTTCATTGTCTCCTTCTTTTCCTTCTATCTTCCAAAGAATTCTAGTAATAGATATTATAGACAGCGACTAAGAGGTCATGGTCTAGCTCTCTGCCCTCAGACAAGTGAGCTTAAGACCCAACTTTTTTTTTTTTTTTAAATAGATGACCGGTAAGGGGATCTCAACCCTTGACTTGGTATTGTCAGCACCACGCTCTCCCAAGTGAGCTAACCGGCCATCCCTATATAGGGATCTGAACCCGTGGCCTTGGTGTTATCAGCACCACACTCTCCCGAGTGAGCCACGGGCCAGCCCAAACTTTTTTTTGTTTTTTTCCAGTTGACCTCGCCTCTTCTCACCTGCCAGCCCTTCTACCTGGGCCCTTCTGGCATCATCCCGGCTCTACCTGCATCTTACTTCCCCAGCCCTGTCTTTGTTGATCCTCTTCTTACTTCTGACCCTGAATTGTATCCCAGGGTCACAGAACCCCCCCTCTGGAGGACCATAGAGCTTGTCCGGCAAATAACCCTCTCAGGTTATACATAACTCCAGGTCTTCCATCTCTTATAGAGCACATTTACCTTCAAGTCAAACTGCATGTATCACTCTGCTCCCCCTCCCCCTGCATACCTCTCAGAAACCCTTCTAGGGATGAGGCAAAGTGTGAACCCCTCAGAATCTGCTGGAGGGTCTCACTTTGCTGGGCTTCTTTCCAATGTCCCCTCTTCCTTCTTAATCTCACACTCATCTCAACCTAACTAATCCATTTCACTTTCTATGATTTGTCACGTCCCTTCTTGGTGTCTTCATTTTTCAAGGACCCTCCGATTTGTAAGAACACTTGAGGGTAATGGAAATACGAATGAACCTGCTTTACGTGAACAGAGTGAGGAATGATAGGATTATGGAGCTTTTAGAAAGGATATATCCTAGACCACCTGAGGCTAAGACAGAGAGAAATGCAAAAGTTGAGTGGGTAACAAGAGAGCCCATAGAACTGAGCAGATTTCAACAGTGGTAAACAAGGTTGAGATACCCTTTGACCCAGTCATTTCTCACCTGAAATTCTCTCTTAAAGAAATATTTTAAAATATGGAAGCAGTTCTCTGCATGACCATGTCCCTCACAGCATTTATTTATAATTGCAAGAAATTGTAAACAACTTGGGCTGGCCGGTTAGCTAAATTGGTTAGAGCATGGTGTTGTAATACCAAAGTCCAGGGTTTGGATCCCCAGACCAGCCAGCCGCCAAAAAAAAAAAATTATAAACAACTTGAATACTCAATAGCCAAGGAACAGTTAAGTGTATTAAGGTACAGCCTCTAATTGGATTAGTATAATGTTATTTTAAATTATTATTATGAAGATTGTTTAGCCATATATAAAATGCTTATAATAATGAGTGGAAGAGAAGTCAGAGTAATAAAACAGGCGTACACTGAGATTATAATTATGTAAAAAGGCGTGTGTGTAAAAAAAATACAGACTACAGCAGTGCGCCACCGGGCCGGCCCATCTTTGGCCCATTTTTAATCAACTTGTTCGTCTGCAATATTTATTGCATTCTCCCACTCCCTTCCAGATATTATTTTCTTATGCTTTTTTTGGAGGGGGGCCCTAATTTCTTATTGTTGAGTTTTAAAAGTTTTTGCATATTTTGGCTAACCATGCTTCACTGACAATTGCTTTTGCAAATACTTTCTCCCAGTCTGAGGCTTGTCACTTCATTCTCTTGACATTGTCTTTTGCAGATAGAAATTTTTAATTTTAATGAAATTCAGCTTATCAGTTCCTTCTGTCATGAGTTGTGCCTTTCGTGTTGTTTCTAAAAAATCATCACCCAAACCCAAGGTCATCTAGCTTTTCTCCTGTGTTATCTTCTAGCAGTTTTATAGTTTTGCATTTTACATTTAGGATCATGATCCATTTTGAGTTAATTTTTGTGACCCCAGGAGTTTTTAACTCTCAGAGTTGTCCACACTGAGCCTCCAGCAATTCATCATTGACTATTTAGATTTTCCTACTGGTTCCCATTGAGGTTTCTGCTTCTCTAAGTTGTGATTCTCTGTTTCGGCCAGTTTGGGGACATCAGCTTTGCCCTGTGACCTCACTTCTCTGACAAATCTAAGAAGAGTTACTGATTTTTCAGTTTTTCAGCTTCTTACTTGTTAGGACTGAGTAATGACTTCTGAGCTCTATATGTGCTGGACAAGAAACCAGAAGTCTGAAAGTTAATTTTGATTCACTTTTATAAAAAAAATGTAAAACAAACTGTCCAATAAGTCTCCAACACACACACACACACACACACACACACACACACACACACACACACACAGCTTGTCAGGAGGCAGGAGCTGTGAAGGTGAAGCAAGTGGCAGTTATGTAGCACGGTTCCTACTAGATAGAAGAACGCTGGCATGAGTCATCTGTGTCTTTTTGGCTTTCCTGGGTTTTGGCAGCAGTGTGTATTTGATTTTTATTTTTAACTGCATTTAAGAAATCTGAAGCATAAAAGTCTCCAAGATATGGATAGATGGAGATTTGAAAATGAGAGCAACAAAGTAGTGTCAACCAACCAGCAAGTCACTGCTAAGGACCTGCTCCTCAGACTAGACAGGCCCGTACAGCTCTGTGACCTCACCTGCCTTGTTCCCAAACATGGTGGCTCTGAGGAGGAGGATTATAGTGATGAGGATTTTCTCTCTGGGGCATCTTATGTGCTGTGGGCAAGTCCACTGTCTAACCTGCAGGTTTGTCAGCTGTACCAGAGGTCTCTCACTGGCAGTCTGTGGGCCAAGTCCAGGCTTCCCATGTGTTTTTTTTTTTTTTGGTCTGCACCAGATGGCCCAAGCTGTCTTCATTCAGGGTTTGCATTTCCACATGGCAGTCATCAGCTGGAGCAGAAGAGCAGTGGCTCACTTTATCAGGACATGAGTTCTCCAGTTCGCCACAGTCCCCCCTACTCCCTAGTGTTCCTGACCTGGAGGCAAAGCATTAGTTGACATTACAGTCTTACATTTGGCCTGCTTCATTCATTTGTGACATCTATGACTCCAAACACAATGAGAGAGACTCAGACTGGATGAAAACCCAAGTCATTTGTTGGCAGTGAAGTTCTGTAGATTGAGAGCAAGGCCTTCTCTGTGAGTCCCCCTCGGGCAGATCTTCAGTCCACCCTGCTTTCCTGGCTCTCCTCCTCCTATTTCTCTTCTCTCTTCACTTCCTTCTGCTTCTTTTGCTCCTTTACTACCTGTCAATTCACTAAAGGTGAGACCTAAACCTCCCACCCCTTCCCACCTGGCATCTTGCTTTCTACCCAGTTCTTCTGATCACAGGATCCTGATCTCATGATTTGCCTCCACAGTTTTAATCCTCCCTCTCACCCAGCTTTTCCGGTACTGACTTTTGGGGTTAGGCCAGCTCTTGCTTTATTTTTAAAAATTTATATAGTAAGGTAATTCGTGCTTATTCTAAAATATTCAAACTATCTATGAGTATATAAGTAAAAAGTGGAAGTCACCTTTCTTCCAGCCCCATTTCCATCCCTGGAAGTAACCATTGCTAATCAAATGGTATGTATCCTTCTAGAACTTTTAAAATACATTTAGAGGGCCGGCCCGTGGCTCACTTGGGAGAGTGCGGTGCTGATAACACCAAGGCCCCGGGTTCAGATCCCATATAGGGATGGCCGGTTCGCTCACTGGCTGAGCGTGGTGCTGACAACACCAAGTCAAGGGTTAAGATCCCCTTACCGGTCATCTTTAAAAAAAAAAAAAAATACATTTAGAAATATACATAACATGACTTTAGGTTATTGTATTCTTTTTTAACATAAACAAGATCATACCATAAATATGGTTTTATAACCTGCTTTTGTTGTTCTCTTATTCATTTGTTTATTTATTTTTAGCATAAATATCTCTTGAAGATTTTTCAAAGTCAGTACTGTTGACCTGCCCCATTCTTTTAGTGGCTGCATAATGTTCTATAGGTTGGATATGGCATAATTTATTTAAATATGCCCTATTGATAAATATATCAGCGGTATTTTTACCATAGTGAATGTGAATATTTTTGTACATGTATCTTGGGGCTCATTTGCAAGTATTTCTGCAGGATAGAGCCCTAGAGTGAATATTTTAATTTGATAGATACAGTGAAATCGATCTTCACAGAGGTGAAGCCGTTCTTTACTGATGCAGGAGAGAGACCACTAGCTTCAGTCTCTCCTACTCCACCGAGTAGAGCTGAGAATTAAACTGTGAATAAAACTGAAATATACACACACACTATTTGGAGTGATTCCATGTAAGTTAAAAAGCGCTCTAAATATGTACAATTAAAAATAGATTTTGAAAATAAAAAACTAATTTAAAAAGGCACTCTATTTTTACAAGTGTGCATTTTTTCGTGGGGAGAACAGAGCACTAGAATCGCAGGCTCTGGGGTAGGTCTGTCAGAGTTTAAATTCCTGCTCAACTGTTCTCTCACATTGGGTCATTAGGTAAATTATCTAACCTTTTTGAGTATCGAGTTCCTGTAAAAGGTGATAGCATTAATAATGTATCTGCCTCACAAGGTTGTTGTAGGAGTCAGATAAGTTAAGACTTGCTCAAGCCCTTAGATCGGGGCTTAGAAGAATGCCTGGTTCACAGCAAGGATATTATATGTATATAAATGTACAGGAAAGAAGTCTAGATGGATATGCACAAGCCGGTTAACATGGTCAGCTCTGGAAAGGGGAGTAAGATGGAAGGTGGCTAAACTTTTTTTACTCCATATACTTCTGTAACGTTTGGATATTTTAAGACAGGAATATATATATCACTTCTGTGCTTTTTTAATAATTATTTTATTTTATTTTGTTTTGTATGTGGTTGGGTTTTTTTTTGTATGTTTGTTTTGTTTTGTTTTGCAGCTGGTTAGTATAGGGATTGAAACCTGGACCTTGGTGTTATCAGCACCACGTTCTTACTAATTGAGCTAACTGGCCAGCCTAATCATAATTTTAAAAACCAGGAAAATGAATGACGTTTCCCTCTCAGGAGCAGGATCCGGTGGCTTTTCAAGACTGCCCAGCATAGGCACAGCTCCTTGAGTGTTCTTCACTGCCAGTTAGAACCAGGATAAGGGCTGTCAGGAGCAACTTTGGGTCCTCTCATGACCTGGAAGAAGGGACCCCTTGCCTGTCCTTCCTGCTCCTTTGCCCAGGCAGCTGGTCAGGTCTGTCAGATGCCAGCTGTCTGCTGCCACCAGAACCCATCCCTGGGCTGCCTGTCCACCTCTGTTGGACAGTTTGCCATGCCCTTTATACACTAGGCTTTGACTGTGCAGCCATTTCTCCCAAGTCAGCACCTTTAGCCAGACTGTTTTCTCCGGCATCTGTCCTGCCCAGGTAGATGGCACCTAACACCTGGTGCATAAGAAGTGCTTAATAGACGAATGACTCATCTCATTCTGAGTCCCAGATTCACCTCCCCACTTCCTGCGTGTCAGCTGAGATAAGACCTGAGTCTCTGCCCAGGTCTCAAGCTGTGCCCTATTGTCACTTCCTCCTCCCATGCCCTAAGTGTGGATTTCCCTTTTGTCTCTGACCATGAACCTTGCTTAGCTCTTCTTTCCAGTCTCACTCCCTTGAGAACTAGTTTGCCCACTTTCACAGCCTCGACGTTCACCCCAGCTCTCAACCTTTAGATCACTACCTCAGGAAAGGCCTTGCCTACACCCTCAACCCCAAGACTAGTGTAGACCCGTTTCTGGGCATGCTCCTGGTATCCTGTCTCTCCCCACCAGTCTGTGAGCCCTTGGAGGGCAGGGGTGGCATTCACTGTTCACTGTTGCATCCTCAACATCTGGCAGAGTGGTGGACCTTTAGTAGGGGCTCAGGAAATATTTGTGGAATATATGATACATTCACAAATTCCAGATTCTCACCTGTATTTCAGTCCCATATTTCCACCTACCTAGAGCAGTGATACCTGCACCTAACTAATCATCAGACTGTCCTGGGAACTTTATAAAAACTAAAAGAGCTCTCTAGTAGTGAAAAGAGCAAGGTGCAAGACAGTGTGTCTGGCATGCTCCCATTTGAACGGGGATGGAACATCTCTGGAAGGCTATGCAAGAAACTGGGTTGATTGCCTATGGGGATAGGAATTGGGCAAGGGGTAGGAAGGAGACTTTTTACTGTACTATTTGATTTTATACCATGTAAATTATTTATTGGTTTTTAAATTTAAGTAGAGAAGTATTCAGGAGCCACATTAAATAGATAAATGATTCACGACCCAATACAGACCTAAGGAATAAGCATCTCTAATGTGAGGACCCAGGAATCTATATATTTTAATAATTCCCAAGTGATGCTGGTCACCAGCCGAGTTTGGGAGTTGCCTTCCCACTTGTAGGTCCTGATGTCTTCTCAAATGCAAACTCAGTCCAATGCTGGTCTCTTCGTTTTCCCCCTAAAACATGCTCTACTTCCAACAGTCTACTACCCTTTCTCCTCTCTTTCTGTGCAAATTTTACAGGCCATATATTGTCTTCCAGGCCATACACTGTCTGCTACAATGACATCCTGGCAACAATCAGAGACATTGCTGTGCAAGAAAGAATATTGCTACATTGACACACACCCATCAGATTCAATCATCTTGCCTTATCTCAGTCTCTTAATTGGAGCAACAGTGTTGATAGTTGATACATAGACTTTCCAATGTGACTCTCCCCCTGCCATCCCTCCCTCCCACAATTGCACACACATCCAGTATGTTTAACTTATGCAGACCAGGGACTGTCAATGCAAGAGAAAGGCAGGGGAAGCCTGGAGTGGCATTTCACAGTTTATCAAGCTGAAGAGACCAGTGACCCCCAACATTCATGTCCCACCTCTTCCAGACAGTCCTCCATGACTGCTGCAGCCCATACTGATCTCACTTGTTTGAATCCTGAATGCAGAACTTTAGCACTAAATTGTTCTACATGTCTGGATTTGGCTCTCCAAATAAATTATAAGTCCCTTGAGGGTACAAACACAGAATCAAACTTCTTTGTTAACTTTATTATCCAAGCACAGTACTGGACTCTTGGTTGACAATCAATACAACTTGTTGACTTACTGACATTCTTTCTTTCCTTTTTGGGAGGTAACCAGTTGGAGGGTGGGAAGGAGTCAGAGATCAAGAGAAGTCTCAAGGTCAAGGGTAAAATGATTAATAATAATAATAGTTACCCCTTATCAAGCAGCTCCTATCTGATAACACCTGTACTAGTGTTTTGTCTTGTTTTTCTTTTTCTTTTTTTGTTATGAATATTCATGAGATACAAAGCTAATTGCCACCCCTCGTGCCCATGATGTAAAGGCCAGATTCATACTAGCAGCATACCCATTACCAGAAATTGCATTATGCACCCTGTATCCCCCTACCCAATTATCCCCCACCTCCCTCCCCCTGCCCCTTTCCCCCC